CTATATTTGTGTCCATAGTTGTGTATATAGCTGTGTCTATAGCTGTGTCTATAGTTGTGTATATAGCTGTGTCTATAGCTGTGTCTATAGCTGTGTCCATAGCTGTGTCCATAGTTGTGTATATAGCTGTGCCTGTAGCGTTGTCTATAGCTGTGTCCATAGCTGTGTCCATAGCTGTGTCTATAGTTGTGTATATAGCTGTGTCAATAGCTGTGTCTATAGCTGTGTCTATAGCTGTGTATATAGCTGTGTCTATAGCTGTGTTCATAGCTGTGTCCATAGCTGTGTCCATAGCTGTGTCTATAGTTGTGTATATAGCTGTGTCTATAGCTGTGTCTATAGCTGTGTCCATAGCTGTGTCTATAGTTGTGTATATAGCTGTGTCCATAGCTGTGTCTATAGTTGTGTCTATAGCTGTGTCCATAGTTGTGTATATAGCTGTGTCCATAGCTGTGTCTATAGCTGTGTCTATAGTTGTGTATATAGCTGTGTCTATAGTTGTGTATATAGCTGTGTCTACAGCTGTGTCTATAGCTGTGTCAATAGCTGTGTCTATATTTGTGTATATAGCTGTGTCTATATTTGTGTATACAGCTGTGTCCATAGTTGTGTATATAGCTGTGTCTATATTTGTGTCCATAGCTGTGTCCATAGTTGTGTATATAGCTGTGTCTATATTTGTGTCTATAGCTGTGTCCATAGTTGTGTATATAGCTGTGTCTATATTTGTGTCAATAGCTGTGTCCATAGTTGTGTATATAGCTGTGTCTATATTTGTGTCCATAGCTGTGTCCATAGTTGTGTATATAGCTGTGTCTATATTTGTGTCCATAGCTGTGTCCATAGTTGTGTATATAGCTGTGTCTATATTTGTGTCTATATTTGTGTCCATAGCTGTGTCTATAGCTGTGTACATATCTGTGTCCATAGCTGTGTCCATAGCTGTGCCAATAGCTGTGTCCATAGCTGTGTCCATAGCTGTGTCCATAGTTGTGTATATAGCTGTGTCTATAGTCGTGTCTTCATCTCCAATAGCTGTGAAAACACCGATTCATTCAAGCCTAATGAACGTCATTCTAAGACAATTATCATCTTTGACACATATCTCATAGGACAAACAGGGATATTATAGCATACTTCAAAAAATATTGCTAAAAATACAAGATCAGTTAACCAGCATTTGAATACAGCATATCTTGTCAATGGCGGTTTAAACGGGTATTGAGTATATATTACTCACAATGCAGATATACTACAAACATGAAAATGTCTCTATGAAACTACAAATACATTTCGACAATGTTCCAAAATATATAGGTGTATATATTCGTTCATCTTTCATTTTGTGCACATTCATAAGATGTTACACCACCAACATTTACAACGTGTCCAAGTTCCATCGTAACGTTTGCAAACGAGGGTACCAGAGAAAACACGACATCGTGGATTGAACCACAAGCCACAGACAACTCAGGTGAAAGTATAGTCGCAGTGCAAGTGGAAGGCCAGCCGTCTGGGTCTTCATATACTGAGGGTTATCACACTATTCGATACACTGCTACTGACAGTGCTGGAAATATTGGGGTTTGTGTTTACAGTGTTAGTACAAGGTAGGATATCATCAACACTTCTCATATTAAGGCAGAATAACTTCATGAATTATTAAATAAATGTGTTTTTTTCACAATCATCTGCATTATTCCGAATTAAATCTATAAATATACCGAATTATGGTTAATTATACATTTCTATTAATGTTTGAGTTCTCAAGTACAATTAGATGGCTTCTGTTTGTTGTAACAACATTATTATTATTGTGTTCGCAGTTATATATTGTGTAGGACATCAACATGACCCAGGATTATCGACTAATTGTCCTGATGGATACATATGGGGATCAGAATGTCAATTCATGTGTGTGCCAGGATATAACTTGACTGGTATCACATCTTCACGATGTAACGTTGCTGATAACACGCCAAGTGGGGTATGGAGCAACCCGCAGCCATATTGCCAACGTGAGTAACATGAACGAATTATTCGTCATATAAGTCTAATGGATTGACAAAACTTGTGTTACATATACATGTTCGCCACACATCTGTCAGCCTCAAGCATATTTTGTGTTGTGCATCTCCAAATGTTCTTACATAAATTCAGCCTTTAAGATATAACACACATGCTAGCTCGTTTCATTATCTATCCATAAACTAGGAATATAAACTCACTAGGAAACATGTTCGTATTTGCAGCAAAGGAATGTCCGGCACTCTCACCTCCGTTATATGGTGATTTCTATGGAGGAGATCAGTGTTATAACACGTTTAGTACATGGTGTAACTTTGAATGTGATATTGGATATGACTTAATTGGAAACCGTTATATATACTGTGGGGCTGATACTAAATGGAATGGCGAACAACCGTATTGTAAAGGTATGGTGCTTATTCTGTTTTAAAACAGTCGCGAGCATACATATAAGATGAAGAATCATTGGATTAAACACGCCAATTAAACTTTATTCAACAGTACGAACATGTCAAACACCAGACGTTTCTGATGGGATGGTAATCAGGAATAGCAGTTTCTGCTCTCTCGATAATGACACAATGCCATATGGTAGTCTGTGCGATTTCAGCTGCAAAGAAGGTTACCGCCTAGAGGGCGCTCACTCAGTATCATGTGGTCCAGACGGTGTATGGTTACAGCTATTTCCGACATGTGAAGGTAAACACTAATATGTACTACGATTGAACTGGGTTACTCACTTTTATTATACCGGATTTAAAATCTGTTATTTAATTTAGCACTAATTTAGTCCAATACATTTAGTAAGAGTATACCTGTCCGGGAAGGGGGCACATTGGGTAGTGTTTCATTGTGTATTTTTAGAAGTAGATCTCGCGAATGTTAAAAACATTTCCCAGACAGTAATGAATATTTTAAATTATTTTCTGCAATATATAGTGTTTCCTTCATGTAAATGAAAAACGTTAAAATTCTTTTAAAAATAATAGGGAATTCTACACTCCATATTAATTATACCTTGATAATTATAGTATTTAAAATACTGAACTCGATACTAATTATATCGTGGTATATAATAGGGAATCCTGAACTCGATACTAATTAGTACTAATTATATCGTAGTATATAATGGGCAATCCTGAACTCGATACTAATTATATCGTGGTATATAATAGGGAATCCTGAACTCAGTACTAATTATATCTCGGTATATAATGGGGAATCCTGAACTCGATACTAATTATATCTTGGTATGATGTAATAGTGAATTCTTATCTCGATACTAATTATATCTCGGTATATAATGGGGAATCCTGAACTCGGTACTAATTATATCTCGGTATATAATAGGGAATCCTGAACTCGATACTAATTATATCTTGGTATGTAATAGTGAATTCTTATCTCGATATCGATACTAATTATATCTCGGTATATAATGGGGAATCCTGAACTCGGTACTAATTATATTATGGTATAATGGGCAATCCTGAACTCGGTACTAATTATATTTTGGTATAATGGGCAATCTGAACTCGGTACTAATTATATTTTGGTATAATGGGCAATCCTGAACTCGGTACTAATTATATTTGGTATAATGGGCAATCCTGAACTCGATACTAATTATATTTTGGTATATAATAGAGAATCCTTCAATCGATAATAATTATATTTTGGTATATAATGGGCAATTCTGAACTCGGTACTAATTATATCTTGGTATATAATGGGGAATCCTGTACTCGATATTACCTATAACTTAGTCCATGTAGGTATTGCTATACCAGACACTTTTACTTAATTTTTGCTAATTTCACAGACAGAAGAACCCAACATTGGCGCAGACATTTTATTTAATTGAACATTTGTTGTTGTGATATTATATGTTTAGATGATTATCAAATTACTGGTTTTGGTATGATCACTTTTTACTTACACGCGAGTAAGTTTTAGGAAGCAATTGGAAACTTAATATTAATGTCAAGTTCATTTTGGTTGTGAGATTGTAAATCAACTCATATCAATATTTTGTTTCTATTGTTCAATGAGTGGGTGAATACTACCACACCACTAAACAAAGGCATGTTTTGACAATGTTAATGACATATGTATGTGAAACCTTCTGCAAATATTTTAGCAATAGCGAAATTTATTTTTTAAACCAATGTCTCTGAAACAATATTAAATAATGTATTCATGTCACAGCTATCACTTGCGCAAGTAATGATCTTCCTGATCCAATAAATGGATACAAGAATTGTTCTGATGTCGCTGCATACGGGTCAACATGTTTGTTAAATTGTAATTACGGATACCTACCGGCAACGCCTACTCCAAGAACGTGCATTAACAATGGTGCAGGCTATGGCGTGTGGAGCAATGGAACCATATCTTGTCAAAGTAATGTATCTGTTTACTTATACTGGTGTTCCTTTTATTCACAACATCCAAGCATAGATTCGACAAGTGTTGTATTTGACGTTTAAATTCACGTAAAAATTGCCTAACTGCATTTCATATCTGTTTCAAATGACTTCTTGACTGTTTTATATTCTAGTCGTTATGTGCGACCCGGTTGAAGAACCAGAACACGGGAATATTACCCTATGTACTTATGAAGGTGATGTGGTTGACGTAGATGACAGCCAAAAGTACGGTAGTTATTGTGTTGCAAGTTGTGATATTGGATACACTGCTAATGGTTCCATCAGTAGGAAATGTTTAGCCAATGGTGAATGGGACGGCGTGCCTTTACAATGCACAGGTGATGACTGACTTGTAATTACAAGCATTTTAACGTAAAGCATAATCGAATAGTAAATAATTTGGTAGTGACTCTTTTCTTTGCCAACATGTGACTAGTGGCTTTTATGTGGGCCAAGTGTTTTGATTTCGGTCTCACCAAATGACGTCTTCATACCCCTCTACACGATCATTTGCTATAAATTAAGTATAACTTGGTAAATGTCTTACTGTGGGATTTCCATATTATCATTAATCCATTGCTACTTAGCTTAACATATATTATCATATTTGTTTCAGGTAGAAACAATTATTTTTATTTTATTATTAATTATTTTTCATTTCTCTTCAGCATTTTGATCATTACCTATTTCACTTCATTGCTCATAAAGGCAGTGGATTGTCGGAAACATGACGATATATCCAGTGCAAATAAGAATGGTGCTAAACATTTTGTTCTGTTTACCGGTAGATATAACTGCTCCTGAAGTCACGTGTCCTTCAGATATGGTGCTTGTGGCACCGATTCTACGCAACACTACAACTCCTGTATGGAACTGGGAGCCCGTCATGGTGCGTTACATTGATTTTGATAAGTAATCTGAAGGAAGAAGATGAATAAATCGGTTTAGAGCGGGATGGTCGTCAACTGCGCACGCGCGGGAATTTAGACCCAAGCGACGATAACAATACACGCTAAAAACGCAAAAGTTCATGGGTTAACGCTTGTTTGTAAACAATGACACGATATGGCCACCTGGAGCATGCGCAGGTGACGACTCCCCCGTTTTAAGTGAAGCACATAAACTAAAAACATAAAATACTTATTTTCTGTTATACAGGCCAGAGACGCAGGAATTAATTTCCCATCTACATTGGTTGAAATTGATTGGGCGCAAGTAAACGGGCAAAGGCCAGCCCATCTCTCAGAAGGCAGCCATATCATGACTTATGTTGCAACTGATGCTGCCGGAAATTCGGCCACGTGCTCGTTTCTGTATACAGTACAAGGTAAGCTATTATACACACTTACACTATGAACACGTGTACAATACAGTTATGTTGTTCAACGAAATGAGTGTACGTAATGTACATTCATAGTTATTACACCACTATGTTTTAGTCACCAGATGCCAGGGGTTTACTCCAGCCACACACGCCATGTGGAAATTGACAACAGGACATGGATCATGTGAATCCGCCGTGGTTTATGGATCCGTATGTGAAATGACATGTTTACCAGGCTATAATTTGTCAATCAATAAATCTCTCGAACTGTGGTCATGTGAGCGTGCGAATGATACTATTATCGATGGCTTTTGGCAAAGCCGTATGCCAGAATGCATACGTAAGTACAATACATTCAAAAATGATAATTTTGAAGTGTTAAATTACAAAACACAAATTTAATCTGGCAATTAAACAGATGCATAATATTATAATTGGAGTGTGTTCTATACGAATTTAGTGTGATTGCACGATTCCTGATGATTGGAACAGAACAGAACAATTTTGGCGGGCTCATTACAACTTGAGCAGATATATCAGCTGTATTATAAAAAAAACATTTGCATTTTTGTTAAAAACATCATATCATAATATTCACGTGATATAAAGATGATAACTTAAAAACAGAATACGATTCCTAATTATAATTTTCCTACAACATTCGGCGGAAGTATTTAACATATTTGCATAGATTTAGACCAATGATTCCATATAATTGATACATATTTAAAACACTAAAATACCCAAATCACGGACTTCTGAAATTCTAGAAAGTGGAACACCAACATTACAGTAACTGAACTTGATAACTGACTGTTTGTAATTTAAAGATATAGCATTGTGTGCGTTAACATTATGTGTATAACATTACTGCATGAAGACATTCATCCAATGATCCCGTGTAACTTATATATTCAACTACCATATGCATATAACTACAAAGAAACTGTAAAAAGACATTTTGCAAATTATTTGTATATATGTAATAATGAAAAGTCATGGATTTTAACAATAAACCGTGTAGATTGCCGAATGTTACCGCACACCATTCAGAAGTTATTTTCAATCACCAACTTTTGATATCACACACACAAGTAAGATTCGAACATATCAAGAGTAACACCATTATTAAAACCATAATGCACCAATTTAAAAGGTAGGGTATGATTACAAGTATTAAGTACCTTGACAAAATCTGTATAAATGACGTCATCTTGAAGTATATTAATCTTTGCAGCCAGACACGCATAATTTTAGTTAGTCATTTGTTTTGTAGGCCCATGTGGTACAAACAAAGTCACGTGATGATTAAAGTATTCGTTGGCATTGTACAATACAATAATCAAATTTTTATCATTTAACAGCTGTAACCTGTCCGGTGCCAAGTGTGCGTAATGGGTACGTGTCCAGTTGTTTTGATGAAGACGTTGACTTCCCGACTGAATGTGAATTCAGATGCGACCGAGGTTTTGCTACAAACAAATCTGAGATTGTTTCCACTAGACAGTGTTCAGCCAACCAGGTTTTCAGTGGTGACGATTTCCAGTGTGATGGTATGGTTTCGTAACATCGTATACATCAGCAATCAGTCGTGTTTATAATAATAATCACACCCAGTTCATGATAACATAACATAACATAACATAACATAACATAACATAACATAACATAACATAACATAACATAACACATGAGTGATGTTTAGTATTGCTTCTTTTATGGAAATCTTGAAACTGGTGCAATATTTTTCTTACAGTGACTGTAACTTGTCCAGGACCACTTCAAATTGACAACGGTGTCATCGAACCTGCTGAATGTTTATACAGTTCAACATTACCATATGATATAGTATGCAACCTACAATGTAATCAAGGTTATGAACAAATAGGACCATACAGTAAACGTTGTACAGAGACTGGTGTATGGAGCCATATGAATGAAACAATATGTAAAGGCACGGTCTCGTTACAAAAACTGTCATTGAATTGATGATTCGTTACATCACAGTTGTACTTACAATTTTCATTTAAATTTAAGAGAACCTCCTGCACAAACTCGTCATTTGGCAATGCATTGTTTATGTTTTAGATGTGGCACCGCCAGTATTTTTAGCGTCATCTGAACAATTTGTAAACGTAGAAGCTGAGAGGAATAGCACATTAAGTGTCGTATACTTTGATGAACCTGATGCAACTGATAACTCAGGAAATGTCACGATCAAAAGGTAGGTCTTTGCATAGGTTTCACGGCGTCTTCATCAATTTTCGGTTGGGAGTACTTGCTTTTGTTGAATCATGAACAAATTGGTATTGTGTCTCAAATTATAGGCAAGCTGGCCATCGCGGGCCTAGTGAATACTTTCCAGAAGGTAGCACAACAGTTACATACATTGCATCAGATGCTTCCGGAAACTACGCTCTGCATGACATTAAAGTCCGTGTTGCGGGTAAGTAAAACAAGCCAATCAGTCAGCCAGTAAGATTGGGTACAGTGGCAATTAATCTGTGAATTGACGAATAATTTTTAAATATGACACTAATACGTATTTTATTTCATTTTTAGTTTATCGATGCCAAGCCTTCCAAACATCATTTGGTGGTCAGGTTGAATGCAGCAGTTATGTCCATGGTGCAGTGTGTACATTCACATGCAATGAAGGCTATCGTCTAGTAGGGTCTGATACAAGGTCATGTGAACGAAATGATACAGGGTATATGTATTGGAGTGGCACAGCAGCAATGTGCGAAAGTAAGTCAGGCATTGCGACTGATTAGTCGATTCGGCATATAATGAATATACTCTATATGCAGTGATAACTCCAACCAATCAAAACTAACCCTTTCACTGTTGGATTACTCATAGTTGTAACATGTCCAGCCCTATCAACACCATCCAATGCAATTAAGTCTGGATGCCTGAATTCTCCACCCGACACAGAGAATTATGGTACTATATGTTCATTCTACTGTGATTATGGATACAAGGAAAGTGGATATACCCAAAGTCAATGTAGAGCGGATGGTACATGGAGCACGAATAATTTCACGTGCTCTGGTAAGTTACCTTGGTAATTGAGCTTGTTGACTTCTATAAATTCGACAAGCCACTGAATATGAACTATTTTCCATTTTCAGAGATAAACTGTGTTCCATTAGTACCACCTAATGGTGCAAGTGTTTCACCTGTCAAGTGTACTTCAACACCAACTCCCGGTGATATATGTACATTCCATTGTACACATCATGGTTACGAAGTAGTACCAGTTGAGAACGTGGCGATAACGTGTCAAGCCATTGGTGATTGGTCTGCAAATACAACATCTTTACAGTGTGTTGGTATGTTGTACTTCAAACCCTTTTCAATTAAATAAACAAATATGGTATGCAATTATGTACCATCTGATTCAAATCGTTTCTCATTTATGCTCATTAGCACATTTTTGGAGAAGTAAAACGTACTCATGCATGGTAAAATTGCTATTACAGACACACAAACACCAGTGTTTACTACATGTCCTGACGACATATCAGTTTATGCAGACCGATCATCAAATTCAACCACAATAGCATGGTCCATCGGTGTAGATGACAACGATGGAAATGTGCCCACAGTTACTTGTGACTACCAATCAGGAGAAGAATACACATCTGGGGACTACTCAGTTACCTGCACAGCGACTGATCAAATAGGAAATGAAGAAACATGTGTATTCAGATTATCCGTCCAGGGTAAAACGAAATAGAATTCTAAAACATTAAACAGACACTAAATAGATACATGAATGTACAAATATTTACAATTCACTGAAAACGATACATGTGTTCCGAAGTTACTACGTTAGTTTATACGGTACACGTACTCGAAATATAGTCATCTCATCTAGTTGTTGATGGTATTCTACATCACGTCCTCTGTGATAATAAGGTTTAATCACCTTATGATTGGTTCCCCCAAAATGCTTGCTAAGACAGGACGTGTTAGTTCAGGAATTGTTATTACATCTTGTCGTAGAGCGTGAACACAACAAATTAAAAACCATCTTTGACTTTGTAGAACAATTTATCTGGTAACCTGAACAATTAACTAATATTATTGTTTACATTAAACACACACGTTCCGACTGAGAATACTGGTCGATATAACTTTTCAATTCGAATCAGGTCATTTATGTTTATTATTATTGAGGATAAATGTTTATTGTTGTATTTCAGTTCGACAGTGTCCACTGTTACCCATACCAAGTCATGCAACTGTAGTTGGAGTATGCGATGGTAATTATGGCAGCACATGCTACGTCAGGTGTGATACTGGGCACACCCTCAGAGGATCTGACAACTTTACATGTGAATATGACGGCAGCAGAATGATCTGGCATACAAATGACCAACCAGTGTGTGAAGGTGCCTATATTATTCTATTCAATTACTAATTATATATGAAACAAGTTTTATTTATTCCTATTTATACATCTGTCACTGTAACGCCATAAGTTACAGCGTGCCGTAATTTTGCGGTATCTTATGGCGCATTTTCATCCTACTATATTAGGAAATGCAAATTCCAAATATGGAATGATTACGCGCATAAGCGTTCTCTAATAATAAAAACAAAGATGGCTGCCGCCAGGGTTTGCCCAGACTCCACACAAAGAAGTTCGTTGATTGTGTTCTAAACATTGTGGATTTCGGTATTCCCATGGTTTATCCTTGGATGGAAAAGATCTATAACAATAAGGTTATTACGAGGACACCGAAAAGTATGCACTCAGACAGTACACCGTCGCATCGACCTTCGCTGCCCGTCGGCCGATACTCCCGCTGTACTGTCTTCGTGCATACTTTGTGGTATTCTTGTAATAAACTCATAGTACAATGCTTTATTGTATTAATGTTCAAAGTATATCTATTCTCATTCAAATCTCAACAGTACCACTGCTCATTCATATTCAATCTCTAAAAGATCGCATTAATGAATAATTTTACTTACTTACAGTCACAACTTGTGAACCACTTGAGTTACCAGCTGGTGTTGAGGTTTCACCAGTTAGTTGTTCGGGCTCTACCAAACCACAACGGGGCACTACATGCACGTTTTATTGTAGAAATCAGTACACCTTGATTGGTAACGACACATCTGCAGCATACTGCAATGATAATGGTCTCTGGAACCACACTGTCATCAACACAGACCTTGAATGCGATGGTTAGTACAACATTGTTATGTCACTTAATTTATATCATAAA